AAGCGCCATTTAACACCCTGTCAACGTTTTGTTTCAAGCGCCATTTACCACCCTGTCAACATTTTGCTTCAAGCGCCATTTACCACCCTGTCAAGGTTTCATTAAAACCATTTTACGTCTAAACTTCTGGCATTAACAAGCGGTCATACAAAAAATAGAAATTTCGACTTATATACGTGTATATGTGTACAGCCAAAAGTTGTTGTGTACAGGTGAAAATTATGCGTACACACGTGAAGTTAATGTGTACACATAAACTTGGCGTTTACACGCCTAAAGTTGACCTGTCCACGCCTAAAGTTGACGTGTACATGTCTAAAGTTGACGTGTACACGTCTAAAGTTGACCTGTCCACGCCTAACGTTGACCTGTCCACGACTAAAGTTGACGTGTACACGTCTAAAGTTGACGTCTACACGTCTAAAGTTGACCTGTCCACGCCTAAAGTTGACCTGTCCACGACTAAAGTTGACGTGTACACGTCTAAAGTTGACCTGTCCACGCCTAAAGTTGACCTGTCCACGACTAAAGTTGACCTGTTCACGACTAAAGTTGACGTGTACACGTCTAAAGTTGACCTGTCCACGCCTAAAGTTGACGTGTACACATCTAAAGTTGACGTGCACACGACTAAAGTTGACCTCTACACGCCTAAAGTTGACGAGTGCACGCCTAAAGTTGATGCGTATATGTCTAAAGTTGACGTGTACATGCCTAAAGGTAACGTGTACACGTCTAAAGTTGACGTCTACACGTCTAAAGTTGACGTCTACACGTCTAAAGTTGACGTTTAGACGTGTACACGTCTAAAGGTAACGTGTACACATCTAAAGTTGACGTGTCTACGTCTAAAGTTGACGTGTACACGTCTAAAGTTAACGTGTACACGTCTAAAGTTGACGTGTCTACGTCTAAAGTTGACGTGTACACGTCTAAAGTTAACATGTACTCATCTAAAGTTGTCGTGAAGGAGAAGCACGTCAACGTTTGTCCCTAATGTTTTATCTTGAAGCAGTGTTCTCGAGCAGTAGCTGTAGATAAATCGATGTCATTTTGTTCAGACACAAGACACTATTTTAAACACAATCTTTGATGCCAATTCAATCCTCAGTTCTAAATTAGCCGCAGGACATCATCGTTGATTTAATTACTTTTTTTCTCAAATTCTAGGATTAGATCTACTTTAAGAGGATCAACGCACACACATTACAACGTGCACACACATACACTGAGGATGTACACGCACACACATCGAGGTTGTACACACACACACCAAATCTGTACACACATCAGGCTTCTAAACAACAGGTACACGCCCCGCCCCCCCCCCCCCCCACACACACACATATTCAGACAGATCTATAAACAATTGATTTGTCTGACCTCCAACTGTTTTTTATTAATTAAAAAATTTGTTTAGGAGAAACTATTTATTTACTAAACTTGAGTAAACATGGACTTTTTAAAATCCGTAAATAGCAGAACTTAAGTAGTTTTGAAATTACACAAGTACAAAAATTTAACAAATTGTTTACGTGGGCAATATTTCAATAGTCCATCGTTTTAAATAACCATAACAGTATTTGGTCAAGCCTTTGAGTGGCTTGAGTGATATTTGAATGCTAAAATTTAGGAAAAGATCAACTGTTTGAAACAGTAAATGTAATTATTGAATGCAAGAAGTTGTTATGGTTTCTAAATGGTAGATGTTGTTATGGTTGCTAAATGGTTGGTGATGTTATGGTTGCTAAATGCTTGGGGATGTTATGGCTGCTAAATGGTTGGTGATGTTAAGGTTGCTAAATGGTTGGTGATGATTGGCTGCTAAATGGTTGGTGATGTAATGGCTGCTAAATGGTTGGTGATGTTATGGCTGCTAAATGGTTGGTGATGTTATGGCTGCTAAATGGTTGGTGATGTTATGGCTGCTAAATGGTTGGTGATGTTATGGCTGCTAAATGGTAGATGTTGTTATGGTTGCTAAATGATTGGTGATGTTATGGCTGCTAAATGGTTGGTGATGTTATGGCTGCTAAATGGTTGGTTATATTATGGCTGCTAAATGGTTGGTGATGTTATGGCTGCTGAATGGTTGGTGATGTTATGGCTGCCAAATTGTTTCTTGATGTTATGGTTGCTAAATGGTTGGTGATGTTATGGTTGCTAAATGGTTGGTGATGATTGGCTGCTAAATGGTTGGTGATGTTATGGCTGCTAAATGGTTGGTGATGTTATGGCTGCTAAATGTTTGGTGATGTTATGGTTGCTAAATGGTTGGTGATGTTATGGCTGCTAAATGGTTGGTGATGATTGGTTGCTAAATGGTAGATGTTGTTATGGTTGCTAAATGGTAGATGTTGTTATGGTTGCTAAATGGTAGATGTTGTTATGGTTGCTAAATGGTAGTTGTTGTTATGGTTGCTAAATGGTAGATGTTGTTATGGTTGCTAAATGGTAGTTGTTGTTATGGTTGCTAAATGGTAGATGTTGTTATGGTTGCTAAATGGTAGTTGTTGTTATGGCTGCTAAATGGTAGTTGTTGTTATGGTTGCTAAATGGTAGTTGTTATGGTTGCTAAATGGTAGTTGTTGTTATGGTTGCTAAATGGTAGATAAGAGAGTACACCAAAGCATGAGAGAGTGACTGTGTTTAACGGCTTGTACACGGCTGTAAACTAGAATTCCGGAGTCTGTGAACTAGAGGGGAGAAGCCGGAAGGATTAAAGCGAAGTGAGGAGCTGTTTGTGAAGACCTAATCAAGTAGCAAATCACGCTCAGACCAGAGGGCTCAAAGACCAGACCACCAGCCCAGCTCTGGTGAATCAGCTTTAAATTACATCTTACACAGGCGCTTCTTCCCTACACACACTCTCTCTCTCTCTCTGTCTCTCTGTCGCCTTGTTCCTCTCTCTGTCTCTCTGTCACCTTGTTCCTCTCTCTGTCTCTCTCTGTCGCCTTGTTCCTCTCTCTGTCGCCTTGTTCCTCTCTCTGTCTCTCTCTGTCGCCTTGTTCCTCTCTCTGTCGCCTTGTTCCTCTCTCTGTCTCTCTGTCTCTCTGTCGCCTTGTTCCTCTCTCTGTCTCTCTGTCGCCTTGTTCCTCTCTCTGTCTGTCTCTCTGTCTCTCTGTCTCTCGGTCTCTCTGTCTCTCTGTCTCTCTGTCGCCTTGTTCCTCTCTCTGTCTCTCTGTGCATTGTTCCCCTCTCTGTCGCCTTGTTCCTCTCTCTGTCTCTCTGTCGCCTTGTTCCTCTCTCTGTCTGTCTCTCTGTCTCTCTGTCTCTCTGTCTCTCGGTCTCTCTGTCTCTCTGTCTCTCTGTCTCTCTGTCTCTCTGTCTCTCTGTCTCTCTGTCTCTCTGTCGCATTGTTCCTCTCTCTGTCTCTCTGTCTCTCTGTCTCTCTGTCTCTCTGTCTCTCTGTCTCTCTGTCTCTCTGTCTCTCTGTCTCTCTGTCTCTCTGTCGCCTTGTTCTCTCTCTGTCTCTCTGTCGCCTTGTTCCTCTCTCTGTCTCTCTCTGTCTCTCTGTCTCTCTGTCTCTCTGTCTCTCTGTCTCTCTGTCGCCTTGTTCCTCTCTCTGTCTTAGTCTCTTCGTGTCTTATAGAAAAATAATTTGTAAAGAAAAAAGGCTCCACGAAAATTTACCGACTGGGGTTGGCCATGAAGTTAATGAACAGTTAACATTATGATAATTAAAAGAGATATTTTGTCGTCTGTGTTTTAGGGGGATCAGATGGGTATGAATGACTGCAGGTTTTACAATTACTTTGTACTGGCCGCATACACATTCTTGTATGGTAAAAACTGTGTTCGTATATAAGTGCAGCTATCCACGTGTTTACACTTTATTCTCTTTGTTTTAACATCTTAATGAGAATATATTCATTTCTTCATCAAACAACTTCGTTGATACCGACCCTAATTAAGTTGTCCTAATTAGATGAGTTTAGCGTAATTGGGTTGGAATAAGGGATCAATACCAACATATGTACCAACATAAAAAACCCTCTTCCCTTCTCTTTTGCCCCTCGCATTTATCTCAACTGGCAGGAATTTGGTTTTTGTAAGGGCCATATGGCATATTTTTACAAGCTTTTATTTAACTTGCTTCCTCGTTCTTTTGTCTGTCGTGCTTCGTCACAGATCGAAACTACCGACCGAAATTTCTAACGGACCTATTCGTTTCAAACTTGGCACGTGTGTCGAGACCCGATAACATTGCAACTGACATCAAATTTGACTTAATTGGATGTTTGTTCGTTTTTAAAGAATTAATTAAAACGAGCCGGCCCGCGGCATAACATACGCCGCTATTTAGTTGTTTCTAATTTTCAATAATTCATAATTTGTGAATTCGGCAGTACCAACGCTGACACTGAAAATATTTCTTTAAAACACTATAAGTACCTCGTTAAGGGCCATAACCCCCCCCCCCCCCCATTCCTTCCCCCCCTCCCCCCCCCCCCTACGTTTAAAATCGTTGGCTCTGCTTGTAAACATTTAGAGTGAACACAGCTCACTAAAACCATGTAGGGGTGGGGAGGTAGGGAGAGCGTTTGCAGCTTGTTTTCTAACGGCTCGAAGAAGAGAATTATATATATAGATTGCCTATATTATGTACTACTTACAGCACTATTATACGCACATTTCCGTATTCATTTGGTTTTTAGTTATGCAAATCTAATGTTTTGAAACATGTAAAGTACTAAAAGAAATTCATAAAAACGTATTAATAACACGTTTTTATGATTAATACATTGATGTGGAGGGAAAAAAATGATTTATCTAAATATAATAATAAACTATTTAAATAACTGAAACTAAAAGCGTGGCTCGCTATATGATGTATTAACTACCTTCAGTATTATGAGGTTGTAAGTTTGTATTAAAGACCTCCAGTATTATGATGTTGTAAGTTTGTATTAAAGACCTCCAGTATTATGAGGTTGTAACTTTGTATTAAAGACCTCCAGTATTATGAGGTTATAAGATTGTAACAACTCTACTTGCAGGTGATCTGTTGTAAGGACGGATGTCCTCAGGTGAGAATGTCCATCTGTCTGCTACATCACGTGCTACTCACCTCACTGGTCATCTACAGGGTGGCAGGTCAGTACACGTACTCACTTAGTCGGTGTCTACCATCTTCTCATCCCATACTGACCATCCTATACCAATATACCATCACATAACACTTAGTGTCTACCATCTTCTCATCCCATACTGACCATCCTATACCAATATACCATCACATAACACTTAGTGTCTACCATCTTCTCATCCCATACTGACCATCCTATACCAATATACCATCACATAACACTTAGTGTCTACCATCTTCTCATCCCATACTGACCATTCTATACCAATATACCATCACATAACACTTAGTGTCTACCATCTTCTCATCCCATACTGACCATCCTATACCAATATACCATCACATAACACTTAGTGTCTACCGTCTTCTCATCCCATACTGACCATCCTATACCAATATACCATCACATAACACTTAGTGTCTACCATCTTCTCATCCCATACTGACCATCCTATACCAATATACCATCACATAACACTTAGTGTCTACCATCTTCTCATCCCATACTGACCATCCTATACCAATATACCATCACAGAACACTTAGTGTCTACCATCTTCTCATCCCATACTGACTATCCTATACCAATATACCATCACATAACACTTAGTGTCTACCATCTTCTCATCCCATACTGACCATCCTATACCAATATACCATCACAGAACACTTAGTGTCTACCATCTTCTCATCCCATACTGACCATCCTATACCAATATACCATCACATAACACTTAGTGTCTACCATCTTCTCATCCCATACTGACCATCCTATACCAATATACCATCACATAACACTTAGTGTCTACCATCTTCTCATCCCATACTGACCATCCTATACCAATATACCATCACATAACACTTAGTGTCTACCATCTTCTCATCCCATACTGACCATCCTATACCAATATACCATCACATAACACTTAGTGTCTACCATCTTCTCATCCCATACTGACCATCCTATACCAATATACCATCACATAACACTTAGTGTCTACCATCTTCTCATCCCATACTGACCATCCTATACCAATATACCATCACATAACACTTAGTGTCTACCACCTTCTCATCCCATACTGACCATCCTATACCAATATACCATCACATAACACTTAGTGTCTACCATCTTCTCATCCCATACTGAACATCCTATACCAATATACCATCACATAACAATTGGTTTCTACCATCAAAGTATGACCCGGTCTATGTGATACGTGGCATGTAATACATCACCATGACACCACTAATACGATATGAGTAGACCATCAACATGACACCACTAATACGATATGAGTAGACCATCAACATGACACCACTAAAAGAGATGACCATCAACATGACACCACTAAAAGAGTAGACCCTCACCATGACACCACTAAAAGAGTAGACCATCACCATGACACCACTAAAAGAGTAGACCCTCACCATGACACCACTAAAAGAGTAGACCCTCACCATGACACCACTAAAAGAGTAGACCATCAACATGACACCACTAAAAGAGTAGACCCTCACCATGACACCACTAAAAGAGTAGACCCTCACCATGACACCACTAAAAGAGTAGACCATCACCATGACACCACTAAAAGAGTAGACCATCAACATGACACCACTAAAAGAGTAGACCATAACCATGACACCACTAAAAGAGTAGACCATAACCATGACACCACTAATACGATATAATTAGACCATCACCATGACACCACTAATAGATTAGACCATCACCATGACACCACTCAAAGAGTAGACCATCACCATGACACCACTAATACGATATAATTAGACCATCACCATGACACCACTAATAGATTAGACCATCAACATGACACCACTAATAGATTAGACCATCACCATGACACCACTCAAAGAGTAGACCATCACCATGACACCACTAATACGATATAATTAGACCATCACCATGACACCACTAAAAGAGTAGACCATCAACATGACACCACTAATAGAGTAGACCATCAGCATGACACCACTAATACGATATGAGTAGAGCCTCATTAGTAAATGCACATGTCATACCCTGCAGACCCCATCACGTTCGATATATTTCTGGCACCATTTCAGCACACAAATCACCAGCACCAGCGTGTAAACAGCAGCAGATTGGTCGGCACTGCTACCTCACACACACACACACACACCCATACACACACACACACCCATTCACCCACACACATACCCATGTACACACACATACTCACGCACACGGGAAAGATTTGCTTGTTCATTATATTACATCTGTCATGATTATTAGATCTCGCTAAAATATTCAAGTAATGAAGTATTCAATTGTTTGATGTATCGTGTCAATAGAAATATGTCCTTATATGTCATGTAGGTAGACATGGGCGTACAACCTACATATTGCCCCTAGTCAGTTTGTCATCAAGTGCTTGTATCAGTTCACTCATGCATCATTTACAAACACTCAGATAAGGCGAGTTCATGAATACAATTTCAGAAAGGATTTTAGAGAGAAACAAAAACCAAAATGCTCACTTGTATTAATTGTGCTCTAAATTGTGCCCTAAATGGTAATGTAAACAATATTCTAATCGCTTTGAGCATTCTGATTGTGATGTAAATGTTGAAAAAAGAGGATATTTTCTGTGCTGCAAATTTCAGTACCAACATTGATTTTTTAATGTAAAACCTGCAACAGCACTGCTTCTATCAGTTTTATAACGACGCCATAATCTGTAATCTTTTTGGAACGCAATGTTGAGAAAACATTGCTAACGTTTGCATCAGCTTTCCTACAACATAGATCCCATTGTCTTTTTTACAGATCAAGTTTATTAGGTCCCATACTATGTTCTATTCACATATCAAGTTAACACGTCACATACCATGTTCTAATCACATATAAAGTTAACACGCCCCACACTAAGTCTTATTCACATAAGAAGTTAAGTAACGACGACTAGGATGTTGATAGAGAACAATGGTCTGGTTAAGTAACGACGACTAGGATGTTGATAGAGAACAATGGTCTGGTTAAGTAACGACGACTAGGATGTTGATAGAGAACAATGGTCTGGTTAAGTAACGACGACTAGGATGTTGATAGAGAACAATGGTCTGGTTAAGTAAAGAGAATCTGGGTTAGAACAATGGCCGGACGGTCCTCCATCCAATTAATTCCACGACTCTCTCTCCATTTCCGTCCCAGGGGCTGGCGACCCGTGTCACGGAATAAACTCCATTAAATGGTTTCATGTTCCACACATTAGCTCACACACATTAGCTCACACATTAAATCACACACGTTAACACACACATATTAGCTCACACACATTAGCTCATACACGTTAACTCACACACGTTAGCTCACACACATTAGCTCACACACATTAGCTCACACATATTAGCTCACACACATTAGCTCACACACATTAACTCACACAAATTAACTCACACACGTTAACTCACACACATTAGCTCACACACATTAGCTCACACACATTAGCTCACACACATTAGCTCACACACATTAACTCACACACATTAACTCACACACGTTAACTCACACACATTACCTCACACATTACCTCACATACATTAGCTCACACACATTAACTCACACACATTAACTCACACAAATTAACTCACACACGCTAACTCACACACATTAACTCACACACATTAGCTCACACACATTAACTCACACACATTAACTCACACAAATTAACTCACACACGCTAACTCACACACATTAACTCACACAAATTAACTCACACACGCTAACTCACACACATTAACTCACACACATTAACTCACACACATTAAATCAAACACTTTGCCTCTCACACATTACCTCACACACGTTAACTCACACACATTAGCTAACACACATTAGCTCACTCACATTAACTCACACACATTAACTCACACACATTAACTCACACACATTAAATCACACACTTTGCCTCTCACCACATTACCTCACACACATTACCTCACACATTAACTCACACACATTATCTCACACCCACTAGTTTATGCTCTAAATAAATATATTTAGAATTAGTCAAAAACAATTTAAGTCAGCCTGTGTCATTTTTACTTTCTCATATATACGAAGTATAGAGAAAGTCTTGTAATTGTGCAAAAAAAAAATCGAGTTTTTTTTTATAAATCTCGACGTTTTACACCTCCCTGAGTCGGAATAACAGTTTTGCAATCTTGTCCGTATGTTTGTGTGTGTGTGTGTGTGTGTGCGTGTGTGTGTGTGTGTGTAAACACGATAACTTGAGTACCGTTACAGCTAGGTTGATGAAATTTCATATATAAGTATTTTATCAAAATCGTAGATCCGTATCAACTTTTGAGCGATTTCCGATAACCGGAAGTGGTACTTTTTCTACTTTGAATTTTTCAAAAGCCTATAACTTGAGTACTATTTCAGATAGATAAATGAAATTTCTCATGTAAGTACAAAATCTAATTCTCTACCATCTATTAAATGTTGAGTAATTTCAGTTGACTGGAAGTTGTAATTTACGCTATTTCCGATTTCTCAAAAAAACGCATGTAAATTTATAAAGTACTAATAATATTCCGCACTATTATGCACAATTCTTTTTACTACGAGATTCTATTCTATTTTTAAAAGTTTAAGTAATTAAAAATAATGTCTATATTCCGAGTTGCAATCCCACGTAGTGTTATATAAGAATATTCGAGAAAGTTTAGGGGAGACTACTCCCGGTTTATTTTTATAGAATATAGGTCGTTGCGTGTTAGGCTACTGTTTTTTTTTAAACCACATCATTTCGTCATAGCCACCACATCATTTCGTCATAGCCACCACATCATTTCGTCATAGCTACCACATCATGTCGTCATAGCTACCACATCATTTCGTCATAGCTACCACATCATTTCGTCATAGCTACTACATCATGTCGTCATAGCTACCACATCATATCGTCAAAGCTAAAAACATAATTTCGCCATACCTACCACCCTATCCCATCCCCGCAACAGCTTCTAGCCACAAGATCGGTAACTTTTTAAAATATTATTTGCTAAGCCCCAATATTTAAATATCTGGCATAGATTTGTGTTGTACATAACGTGCGGTTGTAATTATTACAATAAATTTCCGTTGTTTTTTTTAAAAATCGTGCAGCTTTTTTAGACTGCAAATCAAATTGCCTAGTTTTAACGAAGCCCATCCACTGACTAAATTGACTAGTTTTAACTAACCCATCCACTCACTAAATTGACTAGTTTTAACTAAGCCCATCCACTCACTAAATTGACTAGTTTTAACGAAGCCCATCCACTGACTAAATTGACTAGTTTTAACTAAACCCATCCACTCACTAAATTGACTAGTTTTAACTAAGCCCATCCACTGACTAAATTGACTAGTTTTAACTAAACCTATCCACTCACTAAATTGACTAGTTTTAACTAAGCCCATCCACTGACTAAATTGACTAGTTTTAACTAAGCCCATCCACTGACTAAATTGACTAGTTTGAACTAAACCCATCCACTCACTAAATTGACTAGTTTTAACTAAGCCCATCCACTCACTAAATTGACTAGTTTTAACTAAGCCCATCCACTCACTAAATTGACTAGTTTTAACTAAGCCCATCCACTCACTAAATTGAATAGTCTTAACTAAGCCCATCCACTCACTAAATTGACTAGTTTTAACTAAGCCCATCCACTCACTAAATTGACTAGTTTGAACTAAACCCATCCACTCACTAAATTGACTAGTTTTAACTAAGCCCATCCACTCACTAAATTGACTAGTTTTAACTAAGCCCATCCACTGACTAAATTGACTAGTTTTAACTAAACCTATCCACTCACTAAATTGACTAGTTTTAACTAAGCCCATCCACTGACTAAATTGACTAGTTTTAACTAAGCCCATCCACTGACTAAATTGACTAGTTTGAACTAAACCCATCCACTCACTAAATTGACTAGTTTTAACTAAGCCCATCCACTCACTAAATTGACTAGTTTTAACTAAGCCCATCCACTCACTAAATTGACTAGTTTTAACTAAGCCCATCCACTCACTAAATTGAATAGTCTTAACTAAGCCCATCCACTCACTAAATTGACTAGTTTTAACTAAGCCCATCCACTCACTAAATTGACTAGTTTGAACTAAACCCATCCACTCACTAAATTGACTAGTTTTAACTAAGCCCATCCACTCACTAAATTGACTAGTTTGAACCAAGCCCATCCACTCACTAAATTGACTAGTTTTAACTAAGCCCATCCACTCACTAAATTGACTAGTTTTAACTAAGCCCATCCACTCACTAAATTGACTAGTTTTAACTAAGCCCATCCACTCACTAAATTGACTAGTTTGAACTAAACCCATCCATTTACTTAAATGACTTGTCTAAACTAAGACCGCTGTCTGACTAAAATGACTTGTTTGAACTAAGCCCATCCGCTGACTAAATTGACTTGTTTGAACTAAGCCCATCCACTGACTAAAATGACTTGTTTGAACTAAGCCCATCCACTGACTAAAATGACTAGCTTGAACTAAGCCCATCCACTGACTAAAATGACTTGTTTGAACTAAGCCCATCCACTGACTAAAATGACTAGCTTGAACTAAGCCCATCCACTGACTAAAATGACTTGTTTGAACTAAGCCCATCCACTGACTAAAATGACTAGCTTGAACTAAGCCCATCCACTGACTAAAATGACTTGTTTGAACTAAGCCCATCCACTGACTAAAATGACTAGCTTGAACTAAGCCCATCCACTGACTAAAATGACTTGTTTAACTAAGCCCATCCACTGACTAAAATGACTAGCTTGAACTAAGCCCATCCACTCACTAAATTGACTAGCTTGAACTAAGCCCATCCACCAACTAAAACGACTAGCTTGAACTAAGCCCATCCACTGACTAAAATGACTAGCTTGAACTAAGCCCATCCACCAACTAAAACGACTTGTTTTGACTGTACCAGCCCACCGTTTTAGACGCTCCCTGCAAGCTCTCCCATCTTTTTTTAGCTCCAAAGGCCCTCAATCAGCGACGTTACAGTCCCATTTCTCGCGAGAGTAGTCGGGATTAAGGGAGACAACTAATCCTTGACAACTACAGGAAGCCACAGTAAACATTCTCAAGAAATAAGGGTCAGGACAATTTTCGGAACGTTTTTATCTGAATGCAGACTAAACACGCTGCCATTCATGTGAATGCCATGCACATCTTGTTTACACATACTTCAGAAATTTTTTAAAAAATTGAAATTTTGGACTTGATGTCCACCAACTTCTTCCAATTTCCACCACAATCGGTGAGTCGAGTATTATAACAGCAACTCTTGTCACTCACGTGCATCCCCTGGGTGAGGTCTCATTCAAGATCAGCCAGACTCGAGACAAGGACGATAAGCGACTGTTTAAGTTGGGCTGCGCTAAAACATTCGTGTTCTATGATCATCACTGGTGACTCGTACATACATCAAAACAATACTTGACTAAATGTACAAACATAAGAACAATACTTGACTAAATGTACAAACATAAGAACAATACTTGACTAAATGTACAAACATAAGAACAATACTTGACTAAATGTACAAACATAAGAACAATACTTGACTAAATGTACAAACATAAGAACAATACTTGACTAAATGTACAAACATAAGAACAATACTTGACTAAATGTACAAACATAAGAACAATACTTGACTAAATGTACAAACATAAGAACAATACTTGACTAAATGTACAAACATAAGAACAATACTTGACTAAATGTACAAACATAAGAACAATACTTGACTAAATGTACAAACATAAGAACAATACTTGACTAAATGTACAAACATAAGAACAATACTTGACTAAATGTACAAACATAAGAACAATACTTGACTAAATGTACAATCATCAGAACAACACATGACTATATGTCAAAAGAAACAGGGTTGCATCCCCTATTTTAGTCTAGTTCTTATGCCATTTTATTTTCTTCAAATAATTACTATATAGGTCAATACGATGTATGATCATGTATTTGAAACTGTATAAAGCTACAACATACGTCATTATTTTAAATGTTTAAATAAATTTATTTTAAAATGCCTTTGCCCCTGCCCCCCCCCCCCCCACTATAATTATATTATGTCAATATGTTTTGTTTTCAGGCGACACGAAGACATTATGGTCTCAGTGGTGGACATACGAAGGCATTTCTGGTGAGTTCACATACATCAAAAATTAGTCAATTGTTGGTACCTCAGAATCAATTGGTAACACAAACATTCATTAAATGGGACATTTTCTGCTTTTATATCAGTATACCAGGTCCCATAACTCCACCATTTCAGTCCCAGGTCCCATAACTCCACCATTTCAGTCCCACGTCCGATAACTCCACCATTTCAGTCTCAGGTCCGATAACTCCACCTTTTACTTCCAGGTCCCGACTACTGGGGTCTCCTAAACCAAGACTGGACATTATGCAACAAGGGTCAGCACCAGTCTCCAGTGGACATTAACCCCAGGAATCTGGTCTTTGACCCCAACTTGAGGCCTTTACGTGTAGACGCTCACAAAGTAAGTCTCAGTACCGTCATCTCCCCTGCCCTCAGTACCGTCATCTCCCCTGCCCTCAGTACCGTCATCTCCCCTGCCCTCAGTACCATCATCTCCCCTGCCCTCAGTACCATCAACTCCCCTGCCCTCAGTACCGTCATCTCCCCTGCCCTCAGTACCATCATCTCCCCTGCCCTCAGTACCATCATCTCCCCTGCCCTCAGTGCCGTCATCTCCCCTGCCCTCAGTACCGTCATCTCCCCTGCCCTCAGTACCATCCTCTCCCCTCAGTACCGTCATCTCCCCTGCCCTCAGTACCGTCATCTCCCCTGCCCTCAGTACAGTCATCTCCCCTGCCCTCAGTACCGGCACTTATCTCCCCTGCCGTAAACCTGTAGCACATTTAAAACAGTTCAATAAATGCTCATCGCCTTTTGCTTAGGCCAGTTTGTGATTTGGTTTGAAAATAATGTTTTTCGACTGTTAGTTTGTATTGAAAAGCGAATATGTTGCCAATTAGGTTTTGGTTAATGCATATCTTGACTGATTATTTTAAGATTCATAAATATCTTGACTGATTATTTTTAGATTGACGGATATCTTGTCAACACTGGACACGACATCACATTTTTTGTGAACACAACAAATCCCCGGCCATTCGCCTTCACAGGGGGGCCTCTGTCTTACACATACAGGTAGGTGGCCTCTGTCTTACACTTACAGGTAGGTGGCCTCTGTCTTACACTTACAGGTAGGTGGCCTCTCTTACACTTACAGGAAGGTGGCCTCTGTCTTACACTTACAGGTAGGTGGCCTCTGTCTTACACTTACAGACTTGTGTCTTACACTTACAGGTAGGTGGCCTCTGTATTACACTTACAGGTAGGTGGCCTCTGTCTTACACATACAGGTAGGTGGCCCCTGTCTTACACTTACATGTAGGTGGCCTCTGTCTAACACTTACAGGTAGGTGGCCTCTGTCTTACACATACAGGTAGGTGGCCCCTGTCTTACACTTACATGTAGGTGGCCTCTGTCTAACACTTACAGGTAGGTGGCCTCTGTCTTACACATACAGGTAGGTGGCCTCTGTCTTACACTTACAGGTAGGTGGCCTCTGTCTTACACATACAGGTAGGTGGCCTCTGTCTTACACTTACAGACTTGTATCTTACACGTCAGGGTAGGTAGTGTCTTACATATACATGTAGGTACATACATGTGGTTAGATTTATATTTCAAATTACAGGGTACACCATATCATTATCAAATTACATTTTAAATTACAGGGTACACCATATCAAATTACACTTTGGAAAGATTGACCTGCTCGGCTCAGAACACACCATAGGCGGAAGGCCGTTCCCATTTGAGGTAGAGACGTTTGTTTGTTAACATGGTTTCATGTTTGTACGTGTGGGGTGTGGTGTAACGTTAAATAGAACCTATGTAACATGAAAAACTTGAGTATATCAACTGTATGCCCCAGCTCCAGATCTACGGCTATAACGGCGAACTGTACGACAACTTTAAGGAAGCTCAACTGGCATCGCATGGAGTAGCGGCTGTTGCTGTCTTTGGTAATGTATGTATGGCTCTAGATTCTAACTACTTCCTCTGTCTTTGGTAATGTATGTATGGCTCTAGATTCTAACTACTTCCTCTGTCTTTGGTAATGTATGTATGAATGTATGGCTCTAGATTCTCACTGCCTCCTCTGTCTTTGGTAATGTATGTATGGCTCTAGATTCTCACTGCCTCCTCTGTCTTTGGTAATGTATGTATGGCTCTAGATTTTCAAGCTATTTTGTATTTTGTTGTAGTTATAGTGCTGCATGTTTGAATCCAATGGCCTACGCAGGATCGAAGACTAATAAAACTAACAATTTTAAGTGTGTAATGTAATTGACAATTTAAACTGTAAAATGTAACTGACAATTTAAAGTGTGTAATGTAATTGACAATTTTAAAGTGTGTAATGTAAGTGAAAATTTACTGACAGATAGGAGAGAAAATCAGCCCTGAACTGGACACATTGATCAAAGCTGTCAACGACATTCCTTACAAAGGTTAGTTTCGTTTACATGGATGGAAAAATAAGATGCCTTTTGTTACTCTAGAATAGTTTTTGCTAAGTGTTAACTGTGCCCATCACATGATGTAGTCCAGGTGTGAGAACTGTGTTTAGTAGGTTTGTCTTTCCTTATGAGCAGATAACTCAGCCTCACTCGCCGATGTCTCCATCATGGGATTGATCCCAGAGACTCACGACTACATGACATACGAGGGCTCCATGACCCAGCCGAGTTGTCTAGAAACGGTCACGTGGGTTTTGTTTAACAAACCATTGACCATCGACAAGCAGCAGGTTGGTTTACACGTCTGCTAGTTTAGCCTTAAAACAGACGTAGGCTACGTCTATATGTAAGAGAGAATTCACGAGTTTTTTGTTTAACCTTGGATATAATTTACTGACAGGACCGAGTACTTCTAACAATTCTCGTGTCACGTTGTATCTTGTATGATACACTTGTATCTTGTATGATACAGTTGTATCATGTATGATACAGTTTTATCATATATGATACAGTTGTATCATGTACAATGCCCTTGTATCATGTATAATGCCCTTGTGTCATGTATAATGCCCTTGTATCATTGAGCAGCTGTCCACTTTACGCCGTCTCCACAAGGCAGTCAGCAGAGACAGCCCATCTTTGCTAATGGAGAACAACTTCCGCCCTCCCATGCCTGTCAACAGACGGACCATACGGACAAACATCCAATATCAGAAGCAGGTCGGTCACATCTGACAGGCTCATCTTGTACAACATTTATATCTGTCGTCTCTATGTTGTACAACATTTATATCTGTCGTCTGTATGTTGTACAACATTTATATCTGTCGTGTTTATGTTGTACAACATTTATATCTGTCGTCTGTATGTTGTACAACATTTATATCTGTCGTCTCTATGTTGTACAACATTTATATCTGTCGTCTGTATGTTGTACAACATTTATATATGTCGTCTGTATGTTGTACAACATTTATATTTGTCGTGTTTATGTTGTACAACATTTATATCTGTCGTCTGTATGTTGTACAACATTTATATCTGTCGTGTTTATGTTGTACAACATTTATATCTGTCGTCTGTATGTTGTACAACATTTATATCTGTCGTGTTTATGTTGTACAACATTTATATCTGTCGTCTGTATGTTGTACAACATTTATATCTGTCGTCTGTATGTTGTACAACATTTATATCTGTCGTGTTTATGTTGTACAACATTTATATCTGTCGTCTGTATGTTGTACAACATTTATATATGTCGTCTGTATGTTGTACAACATTTATATCTGTCGTCTGTATGTTGTACAACATTTATATCTGTCGTCTGTATGTTGTACAACATTTATATATGTCGTCTGTATGTTGTACAACATTTATATCTGTCGTGTTTATGTTGTACAACATTTATATCTGTCGTCTGTATGTTGTACAACATTTATATCTGTCGTGTTTATTTTGTACAACATTTATATCTGTCGTCTGTATGTTGTACAACATTTATATCTGTCGTCTGTATGTTGTACAACATTTATATCTGTCGTGTTTATGTTGTACAACATTTATATCTGTCGTCTGTATGTTGTACAACATTTATATATGTCGTCTGTATGTTGTACAACATTTATATCTGTCGTCTGTATGTTGTACAACATTTATATCTGTCGTCTGTATGTTGTACAACATTTATATATGTCGTCTGTATGTTGTACAACATTTATATCTGTCGTGTTTATGTTGTACAACATTTATATCTGTCGTCTGTATGTTGTACAACATTTATATCTGTCGTGTTTATTTTGTACAACATTTATATCTGTCGTCTGTATGTTGTACAACATTTATATCTGTCGTGTTTATGTTGTACAACATTTATATCTGTCGTGTTTATGTTGTACAACATTTATATCTGTCGTCTGTATATTGTACAACATTTATATCTGTCGTGTTTATGTTGTACAACATTTATATCTGTCGTCTGTATGTTGTACAACATTTATATCTGTCGTGTTTATGTTGTACAACATTTATATCTGTCGTGTTTATGTTGTACAACATTTATATCTGTCGTCTGTTGTACAACATTTATATCTGTCGTCTGTATGTTGTACAACATTTATATCTGTCGTCTGTATGTTGTACAACATTTATATCTGTCGTGTTTATGTTGTACAACATTTATAGCTGTCTGCATGTTGTACAACATTTATATATGTCGTCTCTATGTTGTACAACATTTATATCTGTCGTCTGTATGTTGTACAACATTTATATATGTCGTCTGTATGTTGTACAACATTTATATCTGTCGTGTTTATGTTGTACAACATTTATATCTGTCGTCTGTATGTTGTACAACATTTATATCTGTCGTGTTTATTTTGTACAACATTTATATCTGTCGTCTGTATGTTGTACAACATTTATATCTGTCGTGTTTATGTTGTACAACATTTATATCTGTCGTGTTTATGTTGTACAACATTTATATCTGTCGTCTGTATGTTGTACAACATTTATATCTGTCGTCTGTATGATGTCCTCAGTTCGGTCCCCTCTAGCCAAAATGTCCTTTATTCGGTCCTCTCTAGCCAAAATGTCCTTCATTCGGTCCTCTCTAGCCAAAAAGTCCTTCATTCGGTCCTCTCTAGCCAAAAAGTCCTTCATTCGGTCCTCTCTAGCCAAAAAGTCCTTCATTCGGTCCTCTCTAGCCAAAAAGTCCTTCATTCGGTCCTCTCTAGCCAAAATGTCTTTCATTCGGTCCTCTCTAGCCAAAATGTCCTTCATTCGGTCCTCTCTAGCCAAAATGTCCTTCATTCGGTCCTCTCTAGCCAAAATGTCCTTCATTCGGTCCTCTCTAGCCAAAATGTCCTTCATTCGGTCCTCTCTAGCCAAAATGTCCTTCATTCGGTCCTCTCTAGCCAAAATGTCCTTCATTCGGTCCTCTCTAGCCAAAATGTCCTTCATTCGGTCCTCTTTAATGAAAATGCCAAAGTGTCGTCCTCTCTTAAAGCTTGATCAGCGTTGAATCATCCGGCGGAGATCCTTTAAATCTCAGCACTGTGTTCCCCATCAGGCCAGTGTTCGGTACATTTGGTCCAGATTTGTCAGATAACGCGACCACAGTTCTCCCATTTCTGTGTTTAGTTTAAAGTCGTTGGTTGGCTATTGCCAGATTTCTCTAGTGCTCATGTTAAAGAAGTGTAGCGAGCCTAGGATATTTTATGGACCATATTTCTCATTAGGTGCACCATTTTGATAGAAACAAACGGTGTCACGCATTCAGTTGGGGGAGGGGGGCGAACATAAGACGAACATTGTTGTATATTGAAACTAACTTTAGCACCAGTCCAACATTGTTGTATACTGAAACTAACTTTAGCACCAGTCCAACATTGTTGTATACTGAACTTCGTCGTATCCAACTATTTCAACTTGAAATTTAGCTTGCACGCAAAGAACTCATAAATATACCAAGCCATTAACTTAGCTCGAACGTTTCAGGAGTTGTCGCAAATGGAATTTCAATTTAGTCACTAGAGCAACTGTTGTAGACTTAGACCGCTGAGACTTGGCTTGTCAGTTCGTAACTAGACCAATATCATGGGAAAATACAACAGCTAGATAGTACATTGAATACCTTAAGGAGACGTCAATAAAAAAAAAGATAAAAACATTATATCAAATACAGTATGTTATTATAGAAACAAAATATTCCTCAAATGTCAAAATATCGTATTCAGACACAGCTACTTCTGTATACAGATTACAATTTAAAGTAAGTTAGGTATAATTCTAATTTAAGTTTATTTTTTTTTAAAGGGAAGATAATCAGTTTATTTTTTGTATGAACGAAAGTAATTAGAGTTCTCCACCGTGGTTAGACCCAGGGCCGGCGCATGAAAAGACGAACTAGGCGGTCGCCTAGGGCGCTATCCATAAGGGAAGGGCGCAAAAATGTGTCATCTCCAATAATAAAAGTACCTAATAATGAATAACTTTGATTACATTATATGAACTTTAAACTTTAGGGTAATATACAAAAGCAGCCTCCTCTTAGTTACCTCCACTAAGTTTTAAATCGTTTCAAACTAAATTATCTGCCCCTAATAACCGTCACTAAACCCGGCTCTACGATTGTAAACATTTAGCGTGAACCACAGCTCACCAAACCATGTGGGGGAGGGGTGGTAGGGATATGCCTAGAGAGGAAGAGATGGGGCTGCTAGGCGCGCTTACAGCTTAGTGTTTTCTATGGTCTCCAAGAAGAGAATTATATATATAGATTCCCGTTGGTGAAAATGCGCAACCAGACAGTTTTTACAAGCTTTTATTGTATTCCTCTGTCGTCTGTCGTCAGTCTGTCTGTCTAGATCGAACCGCTGGAGTGAAAATTCGGACAGTTCTACTTGACCGATACGATTCACATTTGGCACGGGGGTCAAGACATGAAGACAATGCAATCTGAAATTAAATTTGACATAATTGGATGCCTAATTAATTTTTTATGAATTAATTAAAATTTGGACCGAATTAGTAGGCTTTTATGTACTAATGCACTAAAAAGTAGAAAATAAATTATAGACTACTATTTAAATAAAGAAAAGCGTGGGTGTCTTCCTTAACATTAGTAAAGGTATCCAATAGATACTAAAGTGACCCACGCTTTTCTTTATAGTTATTTAAATAGTAGTCTATAATTTATTTTCTACTTTTTAGTGCATTAGTACATAAAAGCTTGTTATTAAAACGTTTTTTATGAAAGTTTTTTTTTTTATTTTGGTGTCAAGAAATTGATGCAGAAAACAATTATTAAATAATTTATTTCGTCTCTATATAATACAGTAATGACATTTTTATATCGAAGTGTCTACTCGGAATAAGATTTTTCGGCAAAAGATAGTTCTGCGCATGCGCAGTGACCTATGGCTAGGGTTAGGGCTAGAATGAGGGTTAGGGGTAGGATTAGGGATAGGGTTAGGGATAGGATTAGGGCTAGGGTTAGGGTTAGGGCTAGGGTTAGGATTAGGGTTAGGGATAGGATTAGGGATAGGGTTAAGGATAGGATTAGGGTTGGTATTAGGGTTCTGCGGTTGTAAACACACGCATGCGCAGTACCATCGAAAACATCGCCGCTAAGGCAAGTCGTAGTTTCTCTCCATTGCGCATGCGTATCGCATGCGTATCTTATTCCGACTAGAATCGGCCTTTTTATATTATCTACCGCGTTTAGCGCCCCCTTTGGATCGGTGCACGTGCAAATTTTATAGGGTTAAGTCTCATTTTCTCTCACTTTGAATTAGAAATCTCGTTAGCCAGGGAGAGATTTAGATTTTTAAACAAAATTTATTGTTTGCACCACAAGATCCTAAACAGAATTAAAGTAATTCTAATACACACACACACACATATTTATATATATTATGTGTATATATATATATACTAGTCGTCCCGGCCAGGCCCTGCTCTGGCCTCTGTGAAAAACCTATCAGTAAAGGACTTTGACATGTGTGTGATTACAAAATCAGCATATACCCGGCATAGCCCACCCTAACCACAACCAACCAAAACCAAAACACACAAAAAAAGAACCGCGAACATAACACAAACAAACACAACACAAACACAACCACAACCACAACCACAACACAAACAAAACACAACACAAACAAAAACACAACACAACACAACACAAACACAACACAAACCGGGACGGCTATATTAAAATTGTATATCTTCTTTTAGTTGGGTGCAGGTGTCTATAAAAGAGCTTTTTGAAACCTATCTGTAAAGAAACATGACATGTGTGTTTAATAATCGGGATATACCCGGCACTGCCCACCCTAACCACAACCAACCAAAACCAAAGCAAAACTAAAAAAAGGAAACATAACATAAACGCAAACACTAATACAAACAATAACACAAACCCAAACCCAACCAAAAACACTAACGAAAACACAAAACCAACTACAAACACAAACACAAAAACAAACACAAAGAAAAAAACAAACGAAAACGAAAAAGAAAGAACAAAAACGAAACAAATCAAAACGCAAACCCAACCACTAACGCAAACCCAAATCGTACCATGCTGGGGCGCCGGCGGAATCGCCTGTTTCAGCTTAATAAACTACTATAGTACCCCAACTTATTTATAGTCTTTTGCACTCACTTAAATGAACATAGGCGCCAAACCGAACACGGGAATGCCCGGGGCCCCAAATAGCACTCGGTCTGGGCGCATGAGGACTCCCGGATTCGATTCACTTAAAGACTATAGTAACCTTTCTTATCCATACTCTATCGCACTGTTTAAAGCGAAATTATGCACCTTAGCGCTTACAGGATAACCCAGGGCGCCAAATTGAACGCTGGTGGGGCGCCAGCGGACGCGCCTGTTTCAATTTAATGAACATTTATAATACTCCAAGCTTATCCGTAAACGGAAAGAAATAAACATATAGGACATGTAGGACCTGGCTTATTTACTGTTATTGATTTTAAAAAAATAATTAGTAAACAGTAAGTTCAGTGTATTGAATAAATAAAAGGCAGTATTAAAAATACCTAAAACATTGCACTACAACATTCCAATGTAACATTTTTCGGGCAAACGGCCTGCGGGCAAGTGGCATTCGGGCATTTGTCGCATTCGGGCAAGTGTCCATTCGGGCGTTTGTCGCATTCGGGCAAGTGTCCATTCGGGCGTTTGTCGCATTCGGGCAAGTGTCCATTCGGGCATTTGTCGCATTCGGGCAAGTGTCCATTCGGGAAATCGGCCTTCGGGCAAACGGCATTCGGGCAAGTGTCTTTCGGGAATTTGTCGTAGACCCGTTTTGGCTAAACCGGAATGTCCACAAAATAAAAAGCTAGATTTTCACGTCCACCATTCACAAATTAAAGTAATATGTTGCTAAAAAAAACCTTCACAATTTTTAAAAGTAGCTCGTAAATACTTGTGTGTGTGTCTTAAGTGTTGAGTTCATTGACAAAATATCTTTAATTGTTTATTCTATCTAAATTTTTCTTCAGCCTTCGTCTTGTGGGATACAAAAATTTGCGTTTTATGAAGGTAAGACTACCCTGGATTTAAACCAAATTTAAATAATGAACTAGCCTTAAGAAGTTTATGAAAGGGGAGACTACTTTTACATGTGTTTTAATCAAATTTAATAATGAACTAGCTCTAAGAATAACCAAAAAAGCTAACGCTGCAATGCTATTTCTAATTTAGTTAACGACAGGTACCGACTAACTTAGCACCAATAGGACTGACTACACCAATTTGCCTTGAATGTTAGGTAAGTCGAATTGTGATTAGAGTTCGTCCATTAATGACGTAATACTCAGGAGTGGGGGGGGGGGGGGGGGAAACATGTGTGACGAAAAAAAGATGGTTTTACTTTAAATTTGACGTCATTTTAAAAAGTATTTTTTTCAAAGTGAATTTTAGCAGTTATTTTGTACATTTTTGTGTTGTAAATTGTAATTATTTTAGCAGTTATTTTGTAAATTTTTTATTTGTTAATTGTAATTTTTAAAAGTGTAAGTTGGGTTGGCTGAAGTGTGACGTCATTTTATGGGACTGTCTGAAGTTGTGTGTTTGTGTGACTATGGGGGTGGGGGGGGGGGGGCGAGCTAAATACGTGACGTTATTTATTGACCACTCAACATTTGCATCATTTATTAAAAATATGACGGGGGGGGGATAAGAAAAGGAAGGAAACGATAACTGTTTGCTATCAGAGGCCAAACGAACCATTCCAGCGCCCGGGGTCAGCTATCAATTTTACGTCTCCGCCCATTTATACATATTTACGCTGGCGAAAAGCGCCCGCCCCATTTACAAAGGTTAGGTTCATTTTTTTACCAGTAACTGTCCCTTAAATAGTTTTTATTTTGGTGTCGCACATTGATGCTGAAAATATTTTAATCAGTCTGAGAATGAGCGTTTTTTTTTCCTACCACGTTTGGTTACTCCTAAGGGTCGACGCCCTTGGCAGTAGCCCAACCCGCACTCCCCTAGCTACGCCTCTGTTTAATGCGACCTTTCTCTAACATGACATAACACTTTTTGTTTAATGTGACCTTTCTCTAACATGACATAACACTTTCTGTTTAATGTGACCTTTCTCTAACATGACATAACACTTTCTGTTTAATGTGATCTTTCTCTAACATGACATAACACTTTCTGTTTAATGTGATCTTTCTCTAACATGACATAACACTTTCTGTTTAATGTGACCTTTCTCTAACATGACATAACACTTTCTGTTTAATGTGACCTTTCTCTAACATGACATAACACTTTCTGTGTGACCTTTCTCTAACATGACATAACACTTTCTGTTTAATGTGATCTTTCTCTAACATGACATAACACTTTCTGTTTAATGTGACCTTTCTCTAACATGACATAACACTTTCTGTTTAATGTGATCTTTCTCTAACATGACATAACACTTTCTGTTTAATGTGATCTTTCTCTAACATGACATAACACTTTCTGTTTAATGTGATCTTTCTCTAACATGACATAACACTTTCTGTGTTAATGCGACCTTTCTCTAACATGACATAACACTTTCTGTTTAATGTGACCTTTCTCTAACATGACATAACACTTTTTGTTTAATGTGACCTTTCTCTAACATGACATAACACTTTCTGTTTAATGTGACCTTTCTCTAACATGACATAACACTTTCTGTGTGACCTTTCTCTAACATGACATAACACTTTCTGTTTAATGTGATCTTTCTCTAACATGACATAACACTTTCTGTTTAATGTGATCTTTCTCTAACATGACATAACACTTTCTGTTTAATGTGATCTTTCTCTAACATGACATAACACTTTCTGTTTAATGTGACCTTTCTCTAACATGACATAACACTTTCTGTTTAATGTGATCTTTCTCTAACATGACATAACACTTTCTGTGTTAATGCGCCCTTTCTCTAACATGACATAACACTTTCTGTGTTAATGCGACCTTTCTCTAACATGACATAACACTTTCTGTTTAATGTGACCTTTCTCTAACATGACATAACACTTTCTGTTTAATGTGACCTTTCTCTAACATGACATAACACTTTCTGTTTAATGTGATCTTTCTCTAACATGACATAACACTTTCTGTTTAATGTGACCTTTCTCTAACATGACATAACACTTTCTGTTTAATGTGATCTTTCTCTAACATGACATAACACTTTCTGTTTAATGTGATCTTTCTCTAACATGACATAACACTTTCTGTTTAATGTGATCTTTCTCTAACATGACATAACACTTTCTGTTTAATGTGATCTTTCTCTAACATGACATAACACTTTCTGTTTAATGTGACCTTTCTCTAACATGACATAACACTTTCTGTTTAATGTGATCTTTCTCTAACATGACATAACACTTTCTGTGTTAATGCGACCTTTCTCTAACATGACATAACACTTTCTGTTTAATGTGATCTTTCTCTAACATGACATAACACTTTCTGTTTAATGTGACCTTTCTCTAACATGACATAACACTTTCTGTTTAATGTGATCTTTCTCTAACATGACATAACACTTTCTGTTTAATGTGATCTTTCTCTAACATGACATAACACTTTCTGTTTAATGTGATCTTTCTCTAACATGACATAACACTTTCTGTGTTAATGCGACCTTTCTCTAACATGACATAACACTTTCTGTTTAATGTGACCTTTCTCTAACATGACATAACACTTTCTGTTTAATGTGATCTTTCTCTAACATGACATAACACTTTCTGTTTAATGTGATCTTTCTCTAACATGACATAACACTTTCTGTTTAATGTGACCTTTCTCTAACATGACATAACACTTTCTGTTTAATGTGATCTTTCTCTAACATGACATAACACTTTCTGTTTAATAAACGACGTATTGGTTTTAGATGACTTTCGTAAACTTTAAAAATAAGTCGTCTCAATTATTCAGAAACGTTCGAGATATTTCTATGTATTTTCTTGTCTAGCTCCGTCCGTCTTCCAGTAAAGAAAGAACACTTGAAATACGATGAACGCTAGGCTGAAAGATGCAAGAACAATATTGATGTAAGCACATTGCAAGCTGGCACCGTGCACACTGCACATAACATGTGTGCCGAAGACGTGTATTATATCCATCTAGATTTTATATTATATGTAAAAAAAAATTCTGAGCACATTACAGAATAAAATATGATAAAACAGTTTGTATGTTGTTGTTGTTGATATTTGTTTCCCCTAGGAAGTGCGCATTCGAATTTTATAAGTTTAAAATTAAAACCGTAACACTTTCCTAAAACTGTAACATATTTCAACGAAAACACCTCCAACATGTTATAATGTATAAACTGTAACACCTACTCTAACAGTTGAATCTGTAACAACGTATGTAGCAGCTTAAATTGACTATTGTAGCAGTTTCAACCCACTATGTAGAACAAATATTTGGATACAAATTAAATGTTGGCCTTTCAATGTTATCAGTACAAATGTTGATGTACTGCTTAATCTGTAGCTTTATTCTTTTGTAAGTATCAGTATGAGTACATGTTTACTTTTATTATGCTATTCTTTACATAGATATTTCATGTTTACTTTTATTATGCTATTCTTTAAATAGATATTTTATGTTTAACTGAATTGAAAATTGCTGAGAAGTCGCAGGTAACCTGCGCATCGAGCTTAAGGTGCACCTAACTCCACATGATAATTGTTACTTAGACTTAAGGTGCACCTCACTCCACATGTTACTTAGACCAAAGTAAACCAATAGCTGATTGGTAACCTATGTAAGATGTTCAATGTAATGAAAATATCAGTGAAATGTATGTATAGAATAATGTGTATATATATATTGTGAATCATGAAATAAACTATGTATAATAATCAATTTTTGTTTTGTTTTAGGAAGCCAAATGAAAACATTGAGAACTAGTTCTTTAATCACAAGTTATAAAACTTGACAACAAATTTCAAAACTTTAAGACGGATATTTTATTTGGACAATAGCCAGCATAAAAATCATCAAAAAATGAAATGATGAGAGTGTAAACAAAAGAAATGTAAAATGTAGGCTGAACAAAAGAAACCAATATAAGAAAAGGTTTAGTTAGTTGAACAAAGCTATTAAATCACATTTCATGTACATGTTGTGTTTTTAACAATTATTTGCTATTACTTATCTATTGGTTTAAAGTTCCAGCATTTTAAGTTCATTATATTTCAGTAAGGAAATTTTTCAGATACATTAAAATTAGCTTCAATATTTTGTAGTTCTTAGTTTTATTATAAAATAATTTAAGACAAAATCATTCAAAAATAAAAATTTAGACATGAAGTAGTCTAGCATTATTTATATTTCTTAAATATCTACTTGGTAAAGGCTAAATGAATTGCTGCCTTTTAAGAATCCAAGTAAATAATCACTAATAGTGAATTATATTTTGAAATAATTGATGCTACCACTTATTACAGAATTGTAGGCCTACATACAAGATCACAAATTCCATAGGAAAATATTTCATTCAAATATTCACAATATTTTGAGTTTTCACACTGTGTTTTTGAGCTAAACCATCACTTGTTTGCTTACAATATTAGTTAGGGAACTTTTATTGAATTAAGTACATTTAAATAATAATTAATGCAACTTAAAACACTATAGTAAAACAGTTTAAAAAAAAGTTTGATTAAAAATGCCCAATAAGATATTAAATTTCAATAGCATCGAATAAGACAAAATAAGTAACAATCTTTAATTTTTGACATCACATTTAGAAACAAATTTGGATACATGAATTTGAATATTTGTTGAGCTTTAGTAATCATTTAAAAAATGTTAATACCAAAGTAGCATACTAGTCTTAGGCATCAAGTAAATAAGTAATTTGCATTAAACATTTAAATATTGGAAACATATAAGCTAAAGGACTGGCCTTTAGATTTTGTCAGGTACTTTAAGCTATTTGTTCCATTTTAAGAAAACTGAAAAATACTCAAATCAAAACAGAAGCCACATCTCTTTTAACTATAGTATCATATCATTTGAGCTTAAAATTATTTTTCTAATATGGGCATAAACATTGCTGTTAAAACACAAAATGTTGCCTTAATTAATAGTGTAAATCTTAAATGACGCAACTTAAAAAAATCTTGCAGAATATAAAGATGAGCTGGTGCATAAAAAAAATGTAATACCTGTATGTAAAAATCACGGATGATTTACATGATTTAAGTAATGAAATATTCTAATATATTGTATTAAAAAATGGTACATACTATCAAATATACAGATTATACACATTTAAAATTATTATTTAAATGGATAGAAAATGTGTCACATTTATTATGAATTAACACAAGACCTTTTTACAATATTGTGTTTTAATGAAGTGATTAGCTTACAAACACCAAGCTAAATGGAAACTGATATTTTCTGTTCATTGAAAGCTAAATATCTAAGGGCAAAATTTCAAAAATTTTATTTTAAAAATGTATTTGTCTAACAGTTCTGAGTGGTATGATTCTACTTATGAGTTTTTAGGATTTCTATTATTAAAAATGATTGAAGATTTTAAAAGTTACTTTAACACATTATTGTCACAATTAAACATACCACATAAGTATAAGAACAGTTTTTATAAAGTATGTACCAAAATATTTTGTAATTAGAAGTAGCTGCAAAGAACAAATGCTTTTTAAAAAAATAAATCTAAATATAAAAATGTAGTTGAGGTGTTTAAAGGTTATCAATCTTCAATGAAATGATAACAGTGGTAATAGATGTATAATGATTAAGTTGCTGAGCACCAATAAGAAATGAAACATAGATTGAAGTGATGCAATAGATTATTTATTATTTTTCTATTAATTCTATTAAATGTAAATGTGTAAATCATTCCAAGCAAAGGTAAATGTAGGCATTTCTTTTTTTTAATGTTATATTTTAAAAATAAAAAATGTATGTATAAAGCACTTTAAAAAATATAATAATTTAGAATTAGAATAGCAGAAAATTTGAAAGGAAGGAAAACAATCATAAAACCTCTAGTATGTAGAAGATTTAAGCACCTTACCATCAATTTTCTTAGATTTTTTAAAATAATAATATAATCTATAGATTGTTATTTAAATTTAAGAAATGTGGCACATTTACAACTATAGCATTGTTTTTTTGAAGAGTTAACAATATTATGCTCTCTTTTCAATTGTATTTCTTATTTTCAAAACCTTAGTTCTTTTTTTTAATATTCATACAATTAAAACATTTTTTTTAACTCTTCATCTAATAAATATTGATTATTTTGATATTTACATTGCCATTTATCCAATAATAAGCATGCATGCATAGAATATAAATAAATTTAAAATATTTAGTCTAAACTTAATAGCTAAATAACTCAATATTTCAAAACAAATCAATAAATTTGGTGCATATGATTGCTCTTTATATTTATTTGAGCAATATTGGAATAATGAGACAACATAGTTTTAGGTTTCTCAGTCTTCATTCAGATGAATTTTTTTTCCTTCCAAAATGCAATAACTTTAACAATAAGATTTTTTGCTTTAGAATATATGATTTACTCTTAGACATATAATTAGAATTTGCAACTAGTGACCACTGAGACAGAACAAAACATTGTTGACTTTTATGATAAACGCTTTAATAAAACCCTATAGCCTTATCATATGTTTGATTAGCCACAGCCTAACAAAATCTTTTTTTTAAATGTTCAGTTTAGGTACAGAATGTCTTACAAAGAATATCACTAAAGTTTGAATTTCAAACAAAATATAAGGCACATCTTAAGCAATTTAAAATGAAAAGTATACAGTGATATTATAGAAATCATTCCTTACACTGACAAAATGCTATAATGATTTTAAAAGATTGGTGAAATGATTCATAACAAGTAATAAAAGAAATATGTTTACTGAATGAATGTATTTGCTTTGTTTACTTCAATTATTCTCGGATTACTGAGCAAAATCAAAAACATCTTTTGATAAAAATATTTCAATAAATATATTACAGGTAAATGTTTAAAAATAGACATAATTAATATATTTTTATAATTATATAAGATGTCTTAAAATTGTTTCTTAAGTTTAGTAATAAACATATTTGGGATTAAGTTTTAAATAATAAATTGTTTTTCTTAATTAGCAAATCTGTATAAAAACTTGCTATTGACAAATAATGTTTTTTTTTTAAATACGGTGACTTTAATTACATAATTGTTTTCTAGCCATGTGAACAAAGCTTAATGCAAAAAAAAAAATTAATGCATAAAAATCTGAACATAAAATGAATTTGAAATTAAATTATTATAAAAGTTTTTTTTAATGATAATACAAAAACTTGCTGCTTTATTTATGTTGTGTTTTGGTAAACACAGTCTTATGATTCAAAACATAGCTTTTATTGTAAATGCTGCCTTGAAAGAAAACTTAGTAAACTAACTGAATACAAGTAATGATTTTTAATTTATATTCAACTCTTATTGATTGATCTCCTTGATTGCAAATTTTAAAAGGTTTTAAAAATCTATTTTCACTTGCATAGAAAAACTATTTAAAATATTTGGTAAAATTTTAAGTACTTAGTAGTAATAATTACAAATGTGTCTGCTAAATTAGAATAATTAGTATGAGAAGATTTAAAATATATATTAGAGAATTTGAATTTGTTTTCACTGATGTAAAAAATATGTTAATTAGCAAAAGAAAATCTTCAAGCGTTTATAATTCATTTTAAGAAAAAGAAAACAGGGCCTGAAATTTTCATTTTATTATTGTTCCTAAATTTTTTTGTTCCAATTGTTAATTTAAGTAGCATTCAAGTTTTTTTAGAGACACATAGGTTTTCCTGTCATGTCAATTGTTGCTAATAGTAATATGGTGCCTCCCTAGTAAAATGAGCCTACACATCTTTATAAAGACAAAATACCAGCTGTACATATGTTTAAATCATTAAACTTAGGTGGCTTATGGAAAACATTTTCAATTACTGAAACTTTTAAATTTATAAACTAGATAATTATACAGCACATAATTATCTTGTAAATCACAGTTAAAAACAAAAATCACACAGAATTACAGTTATTTTAACTTGTGAATACTAATTCTTAACAACAATTATTTTTTATATTTTGTAAGATGTTCATTTTTTCAATTGTAGTAAGATGTTAATTTTTCTGAGATTTAAAAATCAAAACATTTAGTTATATTTATAAAATCATCTAATTAAACCAAAATTGTTGATATTGATATAGGTTTTATAGGTTTTAAATTTTTAATTACCATTTTTAGTTAAATAATGAAAATTATTTCAAAGTATTAACTCTGTTTAATCTTTGAAAAATATCTACATTTGAAGGAAATTAAGTTTATAAAAGACCTGTAACTTATCAGCAGATCAAATATCTAGCTTATTACATTTTGAACCTTTACATGAGCGATTATAATATCAAATCAATTATAATATCAAATCATGTATAGCATTTAAACCTCAAGACATGGTTGCTATTCAAATAATGTATATATTATTTAATTAGTGATAACATTTAAAAATTTAAAAAATTGCTCTAAGGAATGGCAAGTATCTGCACTACATCTATTTACAAAAGATACACACTTAGATGAGGATATACATTCAACTTGATTAATCAGAATTAAAAAACAAAATAGAAAGGTAACATAAAACATAAATTATGTTATCAATATGTTATTAATTGTCTTTACATATTTGTGTCAATGACTGAATGTTTAGAGTTGTTTAGCTCTTCTGTGTCGTAGACATTTAGAGAGGTGAAACTTGTGTCTCTCAGACGAGTTATGTTGGCAGAAATTGTTATGATGAAGCAAATCTAGGAGAGAAAAGTGGAAAATGTTTTTGGTAATCTAGTGTAGTATATAGTTGGTCTATTTATAAATATATTTAAAACAAAATGTTTGAATTAATCTAGTTAATACTTACCAAACTGTTGACAATTATCAAAGCTCCAAAGAGTGCAACAGCAAAAGTTATGAGCAGATTTTCCCCCTAAAACACACAGTTTATAGTTATTTTATTTTATGATGGACTTGCAATTCTTATTTCAGTTAAAAAGTTTTACTTTTACACAAGGTTAAATACTAAATACATTTTTTTTAAATTAAATCATGGCAGTTTTGGTTTTACATTTAAAAAATGTATGTTCGTAAACTGTTGTTAAAAAAATCTCATTTAATATAAAAGAGACCCAGATCTGCTAAACCTTTTAAAATAACAAATCAATATTTCAATTAAACCAATAGAAATAGTGATTTTTTAAATATTTTTTTAAAAAGGGAGGCTACTCAATTTTTTTGCAATATCGTCCTTGTCACATCCCTTTACAGAAATGAATACATTGTATGGTAAAGCACTTTTTGTGACAATTGGACGTGGGGGGAGGGGGGATGGCGCCAATTTACTTTATTTTTTAAATTTTGATTTCATGAAGAAATAATTGTTTTTTTGTGCAAATTAGATTTTTAAATCTTATGGTAACATAAAAAACGTTCTGTTTAATAATGCATTATAAAATATCCACAGAACGTGTAAAAGTTCATTATAAAATATCTGCAGAATAGCTTGAAAATAAATTAACCATGACGTACATCTTCTTTAAATTGTTCCAGAGTTGTTCCAGTCAAAGTCTTGCCATCAAATCCTGTTTACAAACAATGAACATTTTACAATCAATACACTTGAGTAAAAGATGTAACAGATGGGTTAGTATGGTCTTTGAATAGGCCAACTCTTCACCAAACCCAGAATTGTCACCTACAGGTCTAAACTGCACCCACAACATTATTACTTTGTATGTATTGATAACTATAGCACACTTAGCACGATTTAAAAATAAAGTGCTATGAAATGTGTCCGCCATCTATCTGCCTAAGTAGAAACAATTCAATCAATAGAACAGACTAATTTATGGATTTGTAAGCCAATATATTTTATGTCTCTCTTTACCCTCTCTCTCTCTCCCTACCCCCTCTCTCTCTCCCTACCCTCTCTCTCTCCCTACCCCCTCTCTCTCCCTACCCCCTCTCTCTCTTCCTCTCTCTCTCTCTCTCTCTGAAAATTGTTTATATAAATATAACCAAACACACAAACACACACAAGTATAGATAAAGGCCACACTAGCTTAAGAACTGCAATATTTGCAATATAGCCTACTGCTAGACAGGTGACTTGATTGAGGTGAGTCTGACTTTTTGTGACAATCCGTGATTGGAAGGGGTTGGGGGAGGGGGCGGGGCTAAAGTTGTGCGAATAAAAACGTTAGGTCTATTTTAAGAGAAAGCTAACCTTTTATTTTATTTGTATGATTAAAATACTAGATATAACATTTTACATTAATCAGTCTAGCATTTTTAGACAGGAAAAAGTAATATTCACTACAGAGAATAATGTGAGCAATTATTGATCTAATTCCCACATTTTATTAAGACAGATGCGAAACAGAACAGTTATTAAGCTAACTACAGCAATGCACCGAATTAATGTCATGCATCTGCTCCATTACCCGAGTCCATCCATTCAATAAGGTTCCCTTGCCACACGCACATTTCGTGCTAGTCTTAAAGCGGGTGTATTGAGCAATATGTTGATGATGCTTCAATAATTGTTCTAGTGACACTGAGAGGAACACGCAAATAGATCCAGACCATCTAGTTGGATCTGTTTCACGTGCTGACGTCATATCAGTGCTGTAGCTGACGTCACACACGGGTATGGTGAATATGTTCTAGATGACGTCACATACTGGTCTAGTGAATATGTTTTTAGCTGACGTCACATACAAGCCAGACTTACCGTAGTTCCTGGGATAAGAGAGAGCCAGACCTACTGTAGTTCCTGGGACCAGAGCAGTAGCGGGGGGGGGGGGGGAGGACATACGTCCGCGGGCGCCGACCTTAGGGAGCGCCAAATTGGGTTGGAAAAATAAATTGAAAGGTTGAGGGGGGTGTGCACATCGAAATCTTGAGGGGGGGGTGCAAATCGAATCAGAGCCAGACCTACCGTAGTTGCTGTGACCAGAGCCAGACCTACCGTAGTTCCTGGGATAAGAGAACCAGACCTACCGTAGTTCCTGGGACCAGAGCCAGACCTACCGTAGTTCCTGTGACCAGAGCCAGACCTACCGTAGTTCCTGTGACCAGAGCCAGACCTACCGTAGTTCCTGGGACCAGAGCCAGACCTACCGTAGTTCCTGGGATCCAGGCTGTCTGTTGAGACGATGTAGAGGAGGTCCACAAGAAGAATGACCGGCGCTGCCAGGAGACACGTGACGAGGATCCAGACAATGGTCAGTATGTAACACGTGACGAGAGCCTACAAGGAGATACGCACGGGGATTAGATCAAGGCGGACTGGTAGGGTTATGTGGACACAATGTTCTAGAGTTCTGGTGGTGACACAATGTTTTCTGGTGGTGACGCAATGTTTTTAAGTTCTGGTGGTGACACAATGTTTCAGTGTTCTGGTGGTGACACAATGTTTATGTGTTCTGGTGGTGACAAAATAATTTAGTGTTCTGGTGGTGACACGATGTTTAAGTGTTCTTGTGGTGACACAATGTTTCAGTGTTCTGGTGGTGACACGATGTTTAAGTGTTCTGGTGGTGACACAATGTTTTATGGTGGTGACACGTTGTTTTACTGAACCTCGTGTAGCAAACAATGTAGAATTAATGACTTCACTATGGCAGTTCAAGCTGATATCTGAGTTGATTACATTTGTTTGTTTTTTTGTATGTTGTTTGTATGTTGTTTGTATGTTGTTTGTATGTTGTTTGTATGTTGTTCGTATGTTGTTTGTATGTTGTTTGTATGTTGTTTGTATGTTGTTTGTATGTTGTTTGTATGTTGTTTGCAAGCTGTTTACAATTGTTATGATGCCTGACTTGCAAGGACTCACCAAAATATTGAGCCCCTGAGCACAGCGGTTCTTCCTGTTGGAGTTGAATAACCTGCGACTGGTGGGTTCTGTTGACAGATGACCAGCGGTCAGCAGCAGACAGCCCATCACAAACATCCCCACAACAACTCCTGTGATGGTCATCTCCATCTGACATAATCTAAAACAATCATGGAGGAACACATTTATAAACCAATCATCTTCATCTGGCATAATCTATTGAGATTTGTTTATATCTGGATTAAGATTTGTTTAATCATGATTGAGATTTGTTTATATCTTGATTGAGATTTGTTTATATCTGGATTAAGATTTGTTTATATCTGGATTGAGATTTGTTTATATCTGGATTGAGATTTGTTTATATCTTGATTGAGATTTGTTTATATCTGGATTGAGATTTGTTTATATCTTGATTGAGATTTGTTTATATCTTGATTGAGATTTGTTTATATCTTGATTGAGATTTGTTTATATCTGGATTGAGATTTGTTTATATCTTGATTGAGATTTGTTTATATCTGGATTAAAAGTTAAAGTTAAAGTTTCCCTTTCAAACCTGACGGTCTATGGGGCAAGCGAAGTAGAGTTCACTTGTTTCTGTGACCTCGGCATATGAAGAGATAGTGTGGTCAGCACTATGTCCAGCCGCCTTTACTTTCCCTAACGTGAGTTAGGTACCCATCAGAGTTGGGTGGACTCAGGGACGGTCTACTGACTTGAACCCGGATTCGAACTCGAGACTTTCGGGTTAGCAGTCCAGCTTATATCTGGATTAAGATTTGTTTATATCTTGATTGAGATTTCTTTTTATCTTGATTGAGATTTGTTTGAATCTTGATTTTTAGTTTCTGCTATCCGTACACAAGAAATCATGGACAACAAACTTGACACAGCGTTGTTGACAACAACCCTCGACATACCCCCCCTCCCCCCAGATGTTGATTGTATTAATACATGGCAAACACTTGAGATGTCTTCATGTAATGTTTTACTGGGTTTATTAAGTTCAGACACGTCCTGTATTCATGAGATGCCTAGTAAAATGTCCAAAACTACTGACGTGTCCTACATGTCCTGTCGTTTCCTACATGTCCTGACGTGTCCTACATGTCCTGACGTTTCCTACACTACTGACGTGTCCTACATTTCCTGACGTGTCCTACATTTCCTGATGTGTCCTACATTTCCTGATGTGTCCTACATTTCCTGACGTATCCTACATGTCCTGACGTATCCTACATGTCCTGACGTGTCCTACATGTCCTGGCGTGTACTACACTACTGACCAACAATCGAATGAAAAGCTTCTTACATCTTGGTGTTGTCCAGCAGGTCACGTGTCCTCCATGTGGCGATGAGGAGACCCCCAGTGCAGCAGCCGAGACCCAGCAGCAGGACAATCCATGAGAGCAGGGTGGGGCAGGGGATCTGACCCAGACAGTCGAGAATCTTCTCACAACAAGTCTTGTTGCCATCTGAAGAAAGGAAAAATTCTAGCGTCAATAAAAAAAAACTAGCACGCGATATAAATATTTAATGGAACAAACCAAAGAAACAACTGAAAAATTAACTGTTACTTTCTGAAGCTCAGCACTTTAATAATTTGATTTCATTGGTTAGCGCAGAAACATTTTTAAAAAACAGCTCGAAAATGGATTATAGCAGAATGTAAGAATTGGGTGATATTATATATTATGACGGATGTAACTACATTAGATCAGAGCTTAACTTGTCTAATGATGAGTGTCTTCACATCAACCCTGAACTTAAGTTGTCTTAATGACGGATGCTACTACATTAGACCAGAGCTTAACTTGTCTTATGATCAGTGTATTCACATCAATCCTGAGCTTAAGTTGTCATAATGACGGGTGTTACTGAAACAGCTCATATGTTGCTTATCAATTCAATGTATTACTATTTAGGCATGAGCTTTTGAAAACAGAACTTGTAAAGTGCCATTAAACAAGGGGTCAATTGACACACGTATAAACCTCCTGGTGTTGATACAGAGGGTCGAACTTCGAGGATCACATGACCACTGGCCTGATGTCACAGGACCACTGGCCTGTTGTCACATGACCACTGGCCTGTTGTCACAGGACCACTGGCCTGTTGTCACATGACCACTGGCCTGTTGTCACATGACCACTGGCCTGATGTCACATGACCACTGGCCTGATGTCACATGACCACTGGCCTGATGTCACAGGACCACTGGCCTTTTGTCACATGACCACTGGCCTTTTGTCACATGACCACTGGCCTGTTGTCACATGACCACTGGCCTGATGTCACATGACCACTGGCCTGATGTCACATGACCACTGGCCTGTTGTCACATGACCACTGGCTTGATGTCACATGACCACTGGCTTGTTGTCACATGACCACTGGCCTGTTGTCACATGACCACTGGCTTGATGTCACAGGACCACTGGCCTGATGTCACATGACCACTGGCCTGTTGTCACATGACCACTGGCCTGTTGTCACATGACCACTGGCTTGATGTCACAGGACCACTGGCCTAATGTCACATGACCACTGGCCTGATGTCACATGACCACTGGCCTGATGTCACATGACCACTGGCCTGATGCTAACGTTTTCAGTTGGTAATATTTTTTCCTCAATTTACACAACCTCACCTCCACAATTGAACAAGCTAATACACGTCATAGACCAGTCATAGACCAAACATTAACTCTAGACCTTACATAGACAATTCATAGACCAACCATTGACTCTAGACCATACATAGACAATTCATAGACCAACCGTTGACTCTAGACCATACATAGACAATTCATAGACCAAACATTGACTCTAGACTTTACATAGACAATTCATAGACCAACAATTGACTCTAGACCATACATAGACAATTCATAGACCAACCATTGACTCTAGACCATACATAGACAATTCATAGACCAACCATTGACTCTAGACCATACATAGAAAATTCATAGACCAAACATTGACTCTAGACCTTACATAGACAATTCATAGACCAACAATTGACTCTAGACCATACATAGACAATTCATAGACCAAACATTGACTCTAGACCATACATAGACAATTCATAGACCAACCATTGACTCTAGACCATACATAGACAATTCATAGACTAACCATTGACTCGAGACCATACATAGACAATTCATAGACCAACCATTGACTCTAGACCATACATAGACAATTCATAGACCAACCATTGGACTCTAGACCATACATAGACAATTCATAGACCAAACATTGACTCTAGACCTTACATAGACAATTCATAGACCAACAATTGACTCTAGACCATACATAGACAATTCATAGACCAACCATTGACTCTAGACCATACATAGACAATTCATAGACCAACCATTGACTCTAGACCATACATAGACAATTCATAGACCAAACATTGACTCTAGACCTTACATAGACAATTCATAGACCAACAATTGACTCTAGACCATACATAGACAATTCATAGACCAAACATTGACTCTAGACCATACATAGACAATTCATAGACCAACCATTGACTCTAGACCTTACATAGACAATTCATAGACCAACAATTGACTCTAGACCATACATAGACAATTCATAGACCAACCATTGACTCTAGACCTTACATAGAAAATTCATAGACCAACCATTGACTCTAGACCATACATAGACAATTCATAGACCAACCATTGACTCTAGACCTTACATAGACAATTCATAGACCAACCATTGACTCTAGACCATACATAGACGATTCATAGACCAACCATTGACTCTAGACCATAGATAGACCAAGCATAGACCAACCATTGACTCTAGACCATACATAGACAATTCATAGACCAACCATTGACTCTAGACCATACATAGACAATTCATAGACCAACCATTGACTCTAGACCATACATAGACAATTCATAGACCAACCATTGACTCTAGACCACACATAGACAATTCATAGACCAACAATTGACTCTAGACCATACATAGACAATTCATAGACCAACCATTGACTCTAGACCATACATAGACGATTCATAGACCAACCATTGACTCTAGACCATAGATAGACCAAGCATAGACCAACCATAGACTCTAGACCATACATAGACCAAGCATGGACCATACATAGACGAACCATGGAGCAATCACAGACCATCCACACACAACCATAGACCCCCTACACCATCCACATATCAACCACAAACCAAACATAGACCAACCACACACCAACCATAGAACAACCACACACCAACCACACACCAACCAAACACCAACCACACACAAACCACACACCAACCACACACCAACCAAACACCAACCCAAAACTGAACACACACCAACCACACACCAACCACAAACCAACCACACACCAACCACAAACCAACCACACACCAACCACACACCAACCAAACACCAACCACAAACCGACCACACACCAACCACACACCAACCACACACCAACCAAACACCAACCACAAACCAACCACACACCAACCACACACCAACCACACACCAACCACACACCAACCACAAACTGACCACAAACCAACCACACACCAACCACACACCAACTACACCAACCACACACCAACCCTAGACCACGCCATCCACCATCAGCCTGCTGCCAGAGAGTCTAGTCAGCTGACCCAGAAAGCTTTCAATTCTCTGGAACAGTTTGCTAACACGGCCTCGCGTAGATCGATGGATCAGAGGAGGCGAGAGGTACAGTGCTAGGCTAGGTCAAGGTCAAGTCTTTTTCTTCATGCTAACAGATATAAACAATATCTTCTCTGGTTGAGTACAACAAAACGGCCTGTAGAGGGGAGGTGTGGGGAGATGATGAACGCACATTGTTTGATAACACGTTTGTGTTTGTTTGGGTCGGCATTGGGGATTAACATCGCATTACAAACACACATTAGCGCTAACAAACACAAATAAATACTTACAAACACATATAAGCACTTACACATATATGCACTTACAAATACGTAATTAGGCTCTACTTGAAAGTAGCACTCTATTATGAATATAGACTACAAAAACACCTACACATAAGCACACAAAAAAAACTACACACAAATAATCACACATAAGCACCTACAAACACAGACACAGTGTCAATACAGACAGGTAGAGTGAGGAGTGTCTAGATAGACAGGTAGGGTGAGGAGTGTCTAGAAATACAGGTAGAGTGATGAGTGTCTACATAGACAGGTAGAGTGAGGATTGTCAAGATAGACAGGTAGAGTGAGGAGTGTGTAGATAGACAGGTAGAGTGAGGAAGGTCTAGAAATACAGGTAGAGTGATGAGTGTCTAAACAGACAAGTAGAGTGAGGAGTGTCTAGATAGACAGGTAGAGTGAGGAGTGTCTAGATAGACAGGTAGAGTGAGGAGTGTCTAGATATACAGGTAGAGTGAGGAGTGTGTAGATAGACAGGTAGAGTAAGGAGTGTGTAGATAGACAGGTAGAGTGATGAGTGTCTAAACAGACAAGTAGAGTGAGGAGTGTCTAGATATACAGGTAGAGTGAGGAGTGTCTAGATATACAGGTAGAGTGAGGAGTGTCTAGATATACAGGTAGAGTGAGGAGTGTGTAGATAGACAGGTAGAGTGAGGAGTGTCTAGATATACAGGTAGAGTGAGGAGTGTCTAGATATACAGGTAGAGTGAGGAGTGTGTAGATAGACAGGTAGAGTGAGGAGTGTCAAGATATACAGGTAGAGTGAGGAGTGTCTACACAGACAGGTAGAGTGAGGAGTGTCAAGATATTCAGGTAGAGTGAGGAGTGTCTACACAGACAGGTAGAGTGAGGAGTGTCTACACAGACAGGTAGAGTGAGGAGTGTCAAGATATTCAGGTAGAGTGAGGAGTGTCTACACAGACAGGTAGAGTGAGGAGTGTCTACACAGACAGGTAGAGTGAGGAGTGTCAAGATATTCAGGTAGAGTGAGGAGTGTCTACACAGACAGGTAGAGTGAGGAGTGTGTATGCCTGTATGGAGGGTCTATCTAACCAGACAGGTAGGACCGGGGTATCTAGATATGATTTACAGTAGCAGACGTCATTAATGGGGAGATAAGCGAAGTCAAACAAACATGCCGGTTCTTTCTCCCAGCCGTCCACTGCTTTTCATAGTGTTCAGCTTCATACGGGTTGGACGTAGCTTACATGTTTTAATCTAGAGCTGTTTCATATGGGTTGGACGTAGCTTACATGTTTTAATCTAAAGCTGTTTCATATGGGTTGGACGTAGCTTACATGTTTTAATCTAGAGCTGTTTCATATGGGTTGGACATAGCTTACATGTTTTAATCTAGAGCTGTTTCATATGGGTTGGACGGAGCTTACATGTTTTAATCTAAAGCTGTTTCATATGGGTTGGACGTAGCTTACATGTTTTAATCTAAAGCTGTTTCATATGGGTTGGACGGAGCTTACATGTTTTAATCTAGAGCTGTTTCATTAAGTTGGACGGAGCTTAAATGTTTAAAATCGGATGTGCATAATATGGGTTAAATGGAACTCAAATGTTTTAACACTTTGTCGGTGCTCAACTTTGTACCACGCGTTGAATGTAGCTATGTAATGCTCTGATACCAGCGCTACATACACAGTTGAGCTCATCTGTTTCCGTGACCTCGGTAGATGAAGAGATAGTGGTCAGCACTATGCCCAGCTGCCATTTCTCGGTAGATGAAGAGATAGTGGTCAGCACTATGCCCAGCTGCCATTTCTCGGTAGATGAAGAGATAGTGGTCAGCACTATGCCCAGCTGCCATTTCTCGGTAGATGAAGAGATAGTGGTCAGCACTATGCCCTGCTGCCATTTCTCGGTAGATGAAGAGATAGTGGTCAGCACTATGCCCAGCTGCCATTTCTCGGTAGGTGAAGAGATAGTGGTCAGCACTATGCCCAGCTGCCATTCGGTAAACCGAGTCGGGCACCCGTCATAGTTGGAGTCA